AGATATTAGTGAAAAAGTTGCTCTCGGTATGGCTTCTACTGGTGCTGGAAGAGGTGGTGAAGTAATGTATGATCAGAGGTTATTCAACCAGGAGAAAGGAATGGATTCTGGATTTGCAACAGATGATCAATACAACATTTACGACAAAGGTCTATTCACAGCACAACCTACTCTGTCGACACTCTACAAGCCAAAGAAAGACATGGATTCAGACATGTATGGTGGTGCAGATGAGCAATTAGAGAAGTTAATGAAAACCGAGAGGTTCAAACCAGACAAGGCGTTTACTGGCAGTTCTGAGAAGAGTGGTCCAAGAGACAAGCCACTTGAGTTTGAGAAGGAAGTTGAAGAAGCTGATCCATTTGGTCTTGATCAGTTCTTGACGGAGGTCAAGAAGGGCAAGAAAGCAATGGACAAAGTGGGTTCCGGAGGGACAATGAAAGCAAGCGCAGGCTCTTCCATGAGAGATGGCTATGAAGGAGGAGGCTCTAATAGATCTCGTATCGGTTTTGAAAGAGGACGTTGATACACATGGCTCTGTTTCTCGTTAACTTGGACATGTTTCTTGCTGAGTGAAATCTTAACCCCTGGCTATCTTGGGTGAGATATTTGCTTTATTTCTTCAGTATGTGGAATGTTGTTTTATTGTACCTTATAGACTCTAAATGATCATATTTCTGTTATGCCATGCTAAAATTACACATCTTATCATCCACCCATGGAACTTGCATTTTCATGTTCTATATCGGTAAATGCATGCATGGTTAAATCGTTGGTGCGCTTATGAGTTATTATTTTGGGGATTGCCTTGTGGCGGGATGGGTTGGTTTTTTTGCTGTCTTGACCCTGACCCAAAATTTAAAGGCTTTCACCCTGTGTGTCCCGAATCTAACCCAAATTTTGAGATAAAAAATTACCTCCGATTCAACACTAGTGATATTTTTTCTCATTTTGTTGGTCAGGTAAGAGAATAATTGAAAAATATATAGAGGGATATTAATTTAACTCTCTTGAAAAATACATAAAGGAATCATAATGGTTGAGTCGGGAATTTTTTACTTATTTGATTTACAAAACTTGTTTCAAACACAAATTAAGAAAATTTGTTTTTATCTGTTTCGAACTCAATTTAAGACGTGTCTACGACTGTTGGAATTACAAGTAATTTTAGTACAATGTTCCCATGCCTTAATAAGGGTGGGATTTCTGCGTAAACAACGAGTAAAACGTGGTTAACAAGTATAAACGATACGTTAACAATCCTTCACTAATGAAGATGCTTGATCATGCAACTTATGTGAACTTTCAGGAATCTACATTCTCATTAGATGAAGAGCTTAAACATATTCATTAAAAAAAGGCTAAAAGGAGGTTACAATTCAAGAAATTTAGATTTTTTAAAAATTGATTAACAAATCAACATCTCATGATGACACTAATCCCCTTTGAATTAGGGATCACTTTCGGAACCGTGTTTTCCTCCAGCAAAATATGCAAACTCGGCAACTCCATCCGACGAGATTCGGAAGAGATGTTACAATTAACACACTACTCGCATGACTGGATTTATAACTAAAACAGTTCAGAACCTCCAAAACTTCTAAGCAAATACTTCAGAATCAATTTGCTGAATATTGGGGAAAATTTGTTTCAAGGTAACATTGTAGTTAGGAGACTTTGCCTGCAATGAAAAAGGTTGATCACATATGAGAAGATTAGGATAAAAGAATGAATACTAAGCCAGTAGAGGATATTAAGAAAAGTCAACAAAATTGATCACCAAGTGCGCACATAAAAGACATTAATATCAGTAAAACTCTATAGCTAAACTGAATGCAATAAGCCAAGTTAAGGATGATGGTATAGACTTCATTGAACTTCGCTAAGTTTAGATAGAAGTGACGATACAGCACGCACTAAAGGCATATCCTGTAAGTAATTAGTGTTTTCAACCAAATATTAAATTAGGAAACATAATCGAGAAAAAGATTATGTATAAGAAATCAGGGAAACACGACAAGAAACAGAGCTCCATAGCATACAGATTAAGAATGAATCATGTTCCAATGACAACTTTGAACCATATAGAGAACCAAACATATCAAGGTAACCAACCAATTAGCCACAAGAAAACATTTGAATCATAAGGATGCTGCAATCATTAAAAAACAACAAAAGCTGTAGGCTTTAAGGATCGCAAGTTGTGAACCATACACATGGATTGTTTTCAAGGTAGATAGTGGTGAGCTTTTCTCTCGAACCAGAAACAGCCTCAGCTAAGCCATCAAGTGATTCTATTTTGTTGTCATTGAGCCATAAGCCTTCCAACCAGCAGACAAAAATTATTCAACAACTTATGATGGGATAAGATTCCTAGATCCAGAGAGAGAAGGGGGAAATACATTGTTAAGTTTTGAATGTCAACAACTGATGTTAGCTTATTTGTTGAAACATCTAATACCCGTAGGTTGACCAATTTTGATAGGCCTTCCATTTTTGAAATACCATTGTGGCTCAGGTATATTTCTTCTAGGGCAATGCATTCCTTGAAAACAAAAGATCCAAAAGAAAAACCTCAACCAAATGTTATGAAATACATAAATCTTTATGAGAACCTACATTTTAAATTGCCATACCTCCAACCCTCTCATAGAAGTTAATCGGTTACTTTGAAAGCTAATCTTCTTGATGCAACTAAGCCCACAAAGGTTTATCACTTTGATTCGATTCCTTTCCGGCCAAAGTTCTTGTAACTTCGTGAAATTTTGCAAATTTTCCATTACCTAATATGTCACGATCCAAGAAAGCAATTCACAGATTAGACCATGCTCCTAAAATTACTAATAAGTAGATAACTAACAAACTTTATCCTTTACTCCAACACTGAAACCAAAATTAACAGAAAGATTATACCATGCAACAAAAAAATTAAATCTACCTGCCACACACAATAGATGATTGTTTCACATTATTTACATAAGGAACCTTATTCAAGTAAATTGAAGTACTAACCCGTAGCCTGTTCGAACCAAGTTCAAGAATTTGTAACTCATGCAAGTGGCCAATCTCCTCCATCTTAGTAACTTCATTTTTGGAGACATAGAGTTTCTTGATTGTGCTGGAGGCCTCCGAAAGTCCTTGCAGCGAAGTGATTGCATTGAAAGAAACATCAAAAATCAAGAGCTTTTTGAATATACCAACATCTTGTATTTTCGTCAGTTTATTATCCCCAAGTATTAACTCCTGCACAAAAAGGGAAACAAACCCAAGCTTCTTCACTAGGCTCTTATTCTTTCATTTTTATTTACCTTCTGTTTCCAGAAAACTGATTAAAAAAAACTAAAGCAAACTGTAAAAGAATAATTACAAACATTTCATTAAAAACAAGTAAATAATTAAAATAAAACTGACACTCAAACGTAATTAGTTCATCCAAACGTAAAAGTGTGCATAAAAAAATCTAAATTCACAAGAGGTACATAAATTTCACACACACAATTTTTTTTTTTAAAAATCCCAATTAAATTGAAGAAAATGAATGAGATAACCTCAAGACCGGATAACGAGTCCCAGTTGGAGAACGGCTCGATAGCAGCATCGTTGAAGAGATTCTGTCGAAACGAGAGCTTTTTGAGATGAACGAGATTCACAATCCGAGGGTCCAAACTCGTTAAGCGGTTCGTAATCAGGTCCAACTCGGTGAGATTTGCGGCAATTCCACCGAGTCGAGATCGCGGAGCTGGGAGCAGGTGAAATCGAGGGAGGTGACGGGGGATAAATCCACCTCAACCGTTTGATCATCTCGTTCAGCGTTGGCTTCTGGCGGCGGTGCGGTTTAGTTTTGCATTTTATTTTACTTTTTTTTCTGGGAGGCGGGGACGCGAGCAGCTTCCGTCGACCGCTGGTGCTGCGGAAAATAGTTTTGGTTTTCTGGTGCTTGTGTATTCAATAGAATATTATTATGCATGAGAAGCACACGACGTCGTTTGTTACCAGTCAAAACGGTACATTGGAAAGAAAACCAAATTACTAGGCTTAATCCCTATAAGTCCTCTAAATTGCAAAACTTGAAATCAATACCTTATTTAGAAGAGAGAGAATTTTTATAAAATAGATTATAAAATTAATTTCATTATTTAATTTTTAATTTATATGTTACTAATACTTAAAGGGGAAAAGCTTTTATCTCATATTTGAAAGAAATATACATTTGAATGAATTTATAAAGGGTTGTTCTGTCTATACTTTGTTGAATGTAGTGAGATAAAATTTTTATATGTCTCATTATCAACATTCGATCAATCGATTCATGTAAGTATGTGTCTTTGACATCTTAGAGAAATTGTGCTAATTGTAGGGAGTGTTTGTTCATTGTACGCACATTTGGACAAATTTACTTCTAAAGTAGGGGTTCATCATAATTATTATTCTCGTTTAATTATTATTTAAATTTTTCAGTCGGTGTTAAGTGTTAACGCTTCGTTTTGCAGTTATTTTATCAACATCAACAACACCATACATATCTATTTAGGATTTTTTATCCGTTGACAACAAATGCACACCGTAATGCAATTATTTAAACCCATGACATTTAGGGAGGACAACTCTCCATGTAACCACTGAAGTCATTTTATGGTTCTATATATTTATTTATTTTATTTATTAACTGAACCTTATTTGATATGAATTAAGCTATAAATATATTTGAATTAGATTCATTCAAAGTTGAATTATCTGTGAAATTCGTGTGTATATTTGATATTTGAGAGTAAAACTTAGATTGATTTATTTTTATGTTTATAACATATTATTGTTTTTATATATTTCATATGCATTATATAATTTATGCCCTACGAAAATTAAATATATTATATTGCAATGTAATATTAAAAATGTGTCATTCGAATAATATTTTCATTTTGTTAAAAGAAAGAAAGAGCCCACCGTGATCTTGATCTTAGCAGAGAACGAGTTCGTTACCTTTTCATTATTGCTAGCCAAATTGCACCGTCGTCGTCTGGATCTTATTTTCCGGTGCATGGACGCTCCGTGGATCCATCTCTAACTGCACGTTTTCTTTACAGATTCACAACTAATGGCTTCGTGGTTCAAAGTCGCCGAAGGTGTGAACTCTTCTCCTTCAATTTGTTTCAATCTACATTTCGTTTGTTCTTTTTAATTTTCTCGGATTTAAAATTTAATCTAATTTTGAACGTTTTATCTAAAGCTTAGAACCATTAAATCACAATGTCGTCGGATTAAATGGGTGTTTTGAATGGATTACGTAGCTTAGCATAGTTTTATTTCTTAAAATTTTGAAATTACGTGTATTTGCTGGTGATTAGTTGGGCATAAACTAAAGCGCAAGAAGATTGTAGTTATTTTTTTTAATGAGATCCACATCCGATTTTTGTGTTTGGCGAATATCATATTTTGAAGTGAATAGTGAAAAACAGTTAAGCTTACTCTAGAAATATGATGATGTACTGTGGCATGCTTATTTATTCGAGGAAATATTACTAGTTGCCTGTCTGCAATTCGCTTTTATTAGATTTTGGATTGTTTAACGGATTCTAGTTTTGCTTTATTATTGGCTACGCTTTGTAATGCAAATGCCAGTGATCTATTTACGGTAAACTAGAATTCGGTCACTGTTATTTGATTAGTGTAAGCGAAACATGTATTAACAAAAGGATCGCTGGATGGTATTTACCTTGTGGTACAAGTATTGGAATTATCGAAACTTTTTGCTTCCTTTTTGGTTGTTACTTGTTATGAAATTATGAGTAAGAAACATATGCAGTTTACTTGCCATTTTATTCTGGCCATCACACAGTTGAAAAAAGTAGATAAGACATCTTGACCTGTTCTCTAGATTTAGACCTGCATCTTATAGATAGCTGTAGATATTGTGAATGTTTGGACTCTATGTTATGGGTAGGTTTTGATGTTCTTGCTAGTTTCTAAAATATTTGGACTCTAGGCAATGCTGGCCAACCATCAGCAAAAACGGCGCTCACATTTCCTTTTTAATGATTGATAATAATACAAGGTAAATTGCCATCCTATTCCAGATTTATTTGAAGTTGTAGATCAAAGAGCAAAGCTGGTTGCTAGTGAACTGTCAGAAGAGCAATCTGATTCTCAGCCACAAGGTTAGGATTCCAAATCAAGGGGTTATTTGCATGCATATATCAATTTGAAAATTTTGATTTGGTGTCTTAGTACATGCAATTTCTTATTCGAGGTTATATCAAGTATCAACAGTGTTAGTTAAAATGTTCAATAGAGAAACTAAAGTTTTAAAACCATCTACTTTCTTCTTTTCTGAATCGCATTATAGGTATCCTCACTCTCTATGGCTACTCTCATTCTATCTCACTCTCATCGAGACTCATATGACATATACACATATCTTCCTGGTTTTAATTGTAATGCTTCTAATGTGCAAGGTTCTTCAGCAGAACAGACAGAGACAAGGAAAAAGGTATTGCAAGTATATAGAGCCTCAAATTAGCTTTTAAGTGTACTCATTTCAAGTAAATATGTTCATTAAAACATACTTAATTGGATATTTTTCTTCTTTGCAGGCTCAAAAAGGACTTTCTACAGATAAATCTCCCAAAACTACTGATGCCGTTCGTGAAGAAACAAGTTCAGAAATAGTAGAATTAGATGTTACACCTTTTAAAGATAAGGGTACTATTTCCTCTAACAATGAGGAAAAGCCTAGTACTAAATCTAAAGTCCAAATAAGTAGTGAGCTTTATAGCAACAGTGATAAAGATAACCCTAGATTTCCTTCACCTGATCCATGGGATACCGATGTAGTTAAACATGAAGCAGATCAGGAAGAAGTCTCTGCAACTGTTTGCAGCTCTGAAGCTTCTTGTTCAACTTCAAATGGCAAGCTTCTCATTGAGAATTCTTCGAACATTCTTGTGGATCACCCTTCTTCCCTTCTATCTGCCAAAGATACTGAGGTTGATAGTGAAGATCATTTAGGTGATTGTGGTCAAAATATTGGATCCCAATATGCAGATGTTACTTCAAAGACTGATCAAGAGAGATCACAACCTTTAGTTGCTGATTCTCCTGTTAACATTGAAGCTCAACTAAAAGAAGATGATATTAAAGTTGCAACTCCTGCAAATCAAAAGAAGCCACGAGAACAAAATGCCGATACTCATCCAATGGTAGTTCAGGACCAACTTGCGGAGGTGACAATTACTCTAGTTTACGTCTTTGAATCTTCTCGAGTGCCTCCCCTTTAAAAGCTATATTCACTAGTTCTTTAGTTCTTGTTCAGGCTCAAGGACTGCTTAAAACAACCAATTCAACAGGTCAATCAAAAGAGGCAAGACTGGCTCGAGTAAGCTCTCTGAATTTATTGTTTTTCCCCCCAGAGATATTGAGACATCTGGAAAAGACTAGTTCACTATCCGACTTTAAGGGATATGTCAGTAGGATGATAAATGATGGTGTCTCCTAAAGAATTGCTCAGAGATTAAACATGGCACTATTTCTACTCTCTCCCTCTCTCTAAAAAAATGTAATTTAGAATTTATAACTAATTTCTACATTGTTTTAAAGGTTTGTGCTGGACTTTCATCCCGTCTTCAAGAATACAAATCCGAGAATGCACAGCTTGAGGAGCTTCTAACCGCTGAGGTGCATCGTTCTATCTTCTTTCTCCTTTTGGATATAGTTTCAAGGTTTAGTCAAGCTTGGATGGGTTTTAAGGAATACTGTTTTAAAACTAAATTGGTCCCTTGACAGAGAGGGCTGAGTAAATCTTATGAGGATAGCATAAAACAACTACAAAAAGATTTATCTTTAGCTAAGAGTGAAGTAACAAAGGTTGAGGAAAATATGGTTGAGGCTTTGGCATCAAAGAACTCTGAGATTGAGGCACTTATCAGTTCTATGGATGCACTTAAGAAACAAGCTGCATTGTCTGAAGGGAATCTGGCATCACTTCAGGTTTTACTCTAACCCCCTTTGTTCCAACTTACGTTAAGTGCGGTCTCTGCTTAGTAGCTCATAGAGTTGTGGTTTATGTTCTACCGGACCTTAATACCCATTAAAATAATTACAGCAGCAATTTTCAAGTTGCATGAAATATACATAGGGGTTTGCTATTATTTGATTTATTGAGTGGATTTATGTGGTTTAATGTAACAGCCAACCATACTCGTCTCACCATGGATTATGTATATCTGACTATTAATAGCTTTAGAAGCTAAATAGAAAGGTATAGATCCTGCTACTTACTTCTGTCAATGATACGTTTCTTATGATAGAGATACAAAAGATCAGCCCGTTCATGAGTTGCTGTTTACCTATTAAGTAAATTATGAATTGTGATATGCATGACTGTCTCTGTATCCCTCTCCTGCTCAGTGTTTGCTTCTTTACTTAGCCTCTACATTTAGACATTATCTCTCTTTCAGTTTGCAATCAGTATATGCTCTCGACTTGTGCCTTCTGATCATCTGTGGTTTGTGAATACTTCTTATTGTATACCATCAGGCAAGCATGGAGTCTAGTATGAGAAACAGGGAATTGACAGAGACAAGGATGCTGCAGGTAAACTAGTTAGTTCTTTCTTGCTTGCATGTGCATGTGCATGTGTATTCACTCACAACAAATATTAGATTATTATAATCTTGCTTATGTATTCGTATACTACTTTGTTAGGCTCTACGCGAGGAGCTGACTTCTGCAGAAAGGAGAGCAGAAGAAGAACGTGCAGCTCATAATGCTACTAAAAAGGTCCATATTTGGAACATTAGTTTATTTGCCTTTTGTTTTATCTTGCACTCTAATAATCTGTATTTTTGGCACAGGCTGCAATGGAAAGGGAAGTGGAATTGGAACATCGAGCGGTTGAGGCATCCACAGCTCTTGCTAGAATCCAGGTAATGCAAGGATTCTTTGTTTGTGATTCCATGGCAAAATCATAATTTATTTTGCATCCATATATTCTTGTTCTGCTTGACTGCATATTAAAAATGGAATATTGGCCTTTCAAGATTAGTCCTTTCCTCATTCTCTTTTAAGTGGATGTTAGTTGGTTCTAGATAATGCCTTGATGTGGTGGAAACTTTGCATTTGTTATCTGTTTGGTGAAGTTGTGTCAATTTTGGATTTTTAAATATCATTATCCAGAGAATTTTCATTTACAAACATATTTTTTGAGTTGAACGTAATATTGGCCTTTCTAGATTAGTCTCTTCCTCATTCTCTTTTAAGTCGATCTTATTTGGTTCTAGTTAATGCCTTTCATTTGTAAACATATTCTCATTTTTATTGATAAGCATTTCTCTTTTGGCACTTATTTCTTTGCAATACAATATGTAATTGCACTATATATTGGATGTTTGCACTCTGAATTCTTGGATTCTGGTGTTTCAATGATCTGTAATCTGGTACAGCACAATCTTATTTGTCATGACTCTCTCTAGGATAAGATGGGAATATCTATTAATGGATCTGAATGCGTTTCAAATTCCGAAGTGGAAAAAAAGGCAATCCAAATGAATTTGATAATCAGGATTGTGCAGGGACGGAAACATTGTTGCGATGGGATAATTATAAATTGCCCCCCACTTTTAAAAAAGTTATACTTTGCCTCTTGAGCTGTGAATTGGGATCCTGGCTCTGTCCCTGGGATTCAGTTTATCTCAAAGGCATTTTGACTTATCATTTTCTGGATCATATCATATCTTCCTTTGTCATTAATTTTCATTTAAATCAAAAGACCAACCGTGTCCTGTAGTTAATATGTAATCTACAGTTTGGATTTAAAAATACAACTATTTTTCTAGCAAAGCTGGTTCCCCTTCCTTGTTCAGCACAGGTGTATCACTTGGTTATCTATATATTTCCAACAAGCATTATAAATTCTTGCTTGTTTCGCTGTCCAGAGGATTGCAGATGAGAGGAAAGCAAAAGCCGCAGAGCTTGAGCAGAAGCTGGCACTTCTTGAGGTATATGAAACAGACGGATAACAATGATTTATATGAAAGTTCACCTCTTTGACTGAGCCAAATATGAAGTAAAAACCCTCTTGAAATTTACCTGATATGATATCAGGTTGAATGCGCAACTCTAAATCAAGAATTGCAAGAGATGGAAGCTCGTGCTCATCGAGGAAAAAAGAAGTCCCCAGAAGAAGCAAATCAAATGGTTCAGGTAAATGTGATGAATGAAGGATGTAACTCTGAATGCTATCTCGTGTATGTCACTGGACCATTTCCGTACGGCCAGAGCCTAGCAATAAGAAGTAACTACTTATGGGATATGCATAATGTAATCTACTAAGACGTGGGTTTTTATGTCATTAAGTCTTAAGAACATTTTGAAGCTCTAAAGTTCAAAATACATTTAATATCTAGTTACAGGCATAATATGTGGCCTTTAGCTGTTGCATCAACTGTAGTAAATGTTAATGCAATGACTTATACATGGTTTTATAGATGCAGGCATGGAAGGAGGAAGTAGAGCGTGCACGCAGAAGTCAAAGAGATGCTGAGAGCAAGCTCTCTTCATTAGAGGCAAGTATCGAATGTTTTTCTCTTTCTTATTCTGTACAATAATAGTAAGATTATTCTGGTTTCTTTGTCTGGCCGCAGGCTGAAATGCAGAAATTGAGGGTTGAAATGGATTCCATGAAGAGAGATGCTGAGCATTATTCACGCCAAGTAATGTTCAAATTTATTCCTCTGTTTTCCTTACTTCAAACACATGTTTGCATGCACCTTGTTCAGTATCTATGATCTAATCAGAAATGAAGTATGGCTTTATCGATGGTTTGGTTGCTGTATAAGTGTATACAAACTGCAAGTGTTTATAATGACTGCTGAACTTAGTACCAATAGAGCCTTGACTTTTATTGCTCGTCTGTTCCAGCTAACTGTATACCAACTGCCAAGTCACATGACTTTGTTCTATTGATGTTTGGGTTCAATCAACTCATCAAAATCGTCGCATCTTGTTGTGTATCTCCAGTGATTAGGGAACAATATGTCCTTGCTGTATTCAGAACTTAATTTTGTTGTTTTTCCCTTAAAGTTGCCATGTACTCATGCCCATTGTACTTGAGTGTATGGGCTGGGTTTCCCACAAATTTTTAGCTGTAGAAAACATCCATGCATGTCCCCACGCTGAAGTCATACTAGAATTCCTGAACTAGAACCTGTGGCACTCGGTTATCGTTGTTGGCGTCTCAAGTCTTAAGTTTTCTTGCTAGTCTGAAAATGCAATGGAGTCTATTTCAGTTGTTTTCTATATGCAGATTTGTAAAGTTTAGTTGTTCATAGTACATTCAGTTGTATGTTTTGGTCCACCCGACCATTGTCTGATGAATGTTATTTCTACTATCAGGAGCATATGGAGCTAGAGAAACGCTACCGTGAATTAACTGACCTTTTGGTAATAGAGAACCGAGGTTTACTTTTTCATTTGTTACTGTAACATCTTTGTGCTGACTTCTTGTGGCTACACCATCATGCAGTACCACAAGCAAACACAGCTAGAAACTATGGCTAGTGAAAAAGCTGCTGCTGAGTTCCAGTTCGAGAAGGAAATAAAAAGTCTACAAGAAGCACAGGTCTAGTTGTTCCTCTGCTGCAAGACAGGCTATGTTTTATCCTTGTTTTGCTTTTGATGTTCCGTTAGAATCAACAGGTCGAAGTAGAAAGAAGTAGAGTTCCTCGTCGGGGATCATATGTGTGGGAGGAAGACACTGAAATCAAAGCACTTGAGTATGTTAAACTTTTACATCTTTCTAGTCCGATATTTTTCACCCTAAACTCAAATTTAACCTCATCCCCTCAAAAATCCGACTTGATCTAAATCCAAATTTTTAGAAAAAATAAACCATCCCTAAGTTCGGATCAAATGTCCATCCCTAAAGAGAGACGAAACTGAAAAGAGATATTAGCATCTGTTCATCCTACATTCTTATCGACTCCCAGCTTCCCTGCATGAATATTTTGCTTCCTCTCAATTTACTGCTGTGATTACTTTTGATATTCTCAAAATTTGCTTATCAAGTCAGTACTTGCAGGCCCCTTCCCGTGCATCACCGTCATTTGGCTGCTGCAAGCATACAGGTATTCCCCTTCTTACATCCCAAAACCAACTTATCATCCCGTTTGTTTATTACGACTAGTTTTTTCGACCTGCCTCGTGCAGTTACAGAAGGTTGCAAAATTACTGGATTCAGTATCTGTCAGGGCCACAAGATTTCTTTTGCGATATCCGGTAGCTCGAATAATCTTGCTATGCTATCTTGTAAGAACAATTTCACCTCTTCTTTGGAGTAATGTGTTACATAGATGGATTAAATTCTACAATAACCCATTTGGCAAAAAAATTGCAGGTGTTCGTGCATCTCTTCTTGATGTACTTGTTACATCGTCTTCAGGTATGGCCTTTCGACATTTTTGAAATTAACATATGAAGTATGAACATTTGATTCTAGGGATCCATTCATATTTCCAACTTTAGGCCAATATGCTGTATACGCGCCTAGGCTGTTAGAGTCTACTAGAAGTTTTTGTATTATTATTATTATTATTAAAATTTTATTTGCAAAAAGGCAATTAAACGTACCTGTATTTTTTTTGAAGAAAAAAATTAATATGGCTCTCATTATTTTTTTTAATTTTTTTTTATTAATGTAACCATTCAACTCAGAAAACAAACTAATATGATCATTTGATCAATATTTTTCATCGTTTGATCGCTACAGTGTTGATGTTGTAATTTACGATATTGTCGTGACAATTTACGATACTGTCGTAACAATTTACGATATTGACATGACAGTTCATCTGTTATGTTTGAGTTACCTATTTAGTTCATCTACCATGTTCACATTATCAACCACCATGGTTATCACGTCAGTACTGTGAACTGTCACGTCAATATCGTAATGGTCAATGATGAGAAATGTTGATCAAAGAACCACATTAGACTTATTTCTGAGTTGAAGGGCCACATTGAGAGAAAAAATAATACGATGCCACATTGATTTTTTTTTTTATAAAAAAAGTACATGACTTCTGATGCCTTTTTACCAATTTTATTTTACTTTTGTTATTCTAAAAATAAATATTTTAATCCCTATACTATACGTAAAATGAATTTTTAAGTATAGTATAAAGACTTCTACTAAACTCTAATCCTATAAATGTAATTGGATGGACGTATGATTTTATACTACGAATATAAATATAGGAATTTATATAAGAAATTAGAAAGTGTAAAATTATAAAATTTTAGAAATGAAAAATTAAATTAATATTAGAAAATGTATAAAAATATTTAAATTTTATAAAAATTTAGAAATTTTTAGAGACCACCGCATTCAACATTCCCATCGATCTATCTCTATACAGGCATCACTAATCATTGAATCAAATGTGGTATGTAGGAACAAGTGGACAATTTTGCTGCTAGGGAACTAGCGGAATCTATGGGTCTTCAAAACTCCAACTTACCGTAATCCTATAAAAAGAAAATGCACGGTAGCTCCGACCATGGGTTCTCCAAATGTGTGATTTTCTATCTGCATACTTCGTATACTTTTTTCCCCCTCCTTTGCAGGCATACATGGAATGATCCGAGAAGATATACCATCATTGTTTCAAACACTGGCAAGCTTTATGTCTCGTTAGCTAAAGAGAACTGAATTAAATCGACTAAAGGTAAAAATATATTCTTAGTTCTTGTCCTCTTGCATTTGAAATTTAGTCCTACTTTTATTTTCAGAAATTTAATTCTCTCAATTTTTGGATTAAATTTAAAATTTAACTGTCAGTATAATTAAGATCATTAAAAAAAAATACTAACTTAACCGTAATGTAACCAAATAAAATGATATTGGTATTGATATGAATTTAATAAAAAAATAACAGTATTAGCAATTATATTTAATCTTAAATTTAAATAAAAGTGACATATTAAATTTCAAATATATAAAAAGCACAAGGACTTGAAACATATTATATACAAAAGTTATTAGTTATGCAATTGAATTTTAAGTAATGGTTTTCATTTCTTTTGTTTAAAATTTTATAAAAGTATAAAAAGAAAAATACTTATTGTAATCTCAAGTAAGAGTATGATCATAGGAATAATGTGAAAGTTAAATTATAAATAAATAAATAAAAGGTTCCAATTAAAGAAATATTAATAATTCAATGTTGAATTCTCTCAAATGCTAAATTACCAACAAAATGTGTGATATAAACGTATACATAAAAGATATTTCCCTGTTGTGGTTTGCTGTAAATTTAATTTATTTACCCTTTCAAGCATAGATAGTGACTGTTATAAATTAGATGCGGTCGAGTTTTCGATTAATTCGAATTTTTATCTAAAATTTGATTTAGTTTAGATTTCGAGAGATTTCTATTTAAAATTTAATCTAAATTTAAAAATAAAAATTCATATTTGACTCGATCCAACAATGATATACAAATATTTTATTTTATTTGGTAAAACAGGGACATGATTGAAATTTTTTATAGAAGAGACTCATATTATAACAATTATCTTTAACTATATAGAGAAAAATTATATTATTTTTCTGAGTCGAATCGAGTCAATATTTTTCATCTTAAATTTGAACTTCACAAAAGTCGATCTAATTCAATTTGAACTCAATATTTTTAAAAAGGGTAAATTATGCGTTTAATACATACACTATCAATTTTAGCCCGGTTAGTACCTAAACTTTTAATTTTTTAAAATTATATCTAAAGTTTAGTTTTTTGTTTCATTTTAGTATTATGCCGTTAAAAAGTTTAGTTTTTGTTTCATTTTAGTGTCACGTTCAAAATTTAACGTTAAGTTTTGAAAAAATTGAAAGTTTATGTATTAAAACAGACTAAAATTGATAGTTTAAGTGTTAAACACGTTAATTTTTTAACAGTGTAATATTAAAATGAAATGAAAACTAAACTTTAAGTATGTTTTTGAAAAGAATTGAACATTTACGTATTAAAACAAATCAAAACTCATAATTTAGGTACTAAACACGGAATTTATCCTTTTTAAAAATATCAGTCCACATTCTTTACTCTCATGCCGCTTCTTCTCTTTCCTTCTCTACTATCACTTCTTCTTCTTTCTTCTTATAATGCTGCTTATTCTTCTACATCAATACTTTTTCTTTCTTCTTTTATGCTGTTCATTCTTCTTTAACGTCGCTTCTTTCTTCTTCTATGATGCTTATTCTTCTTTCTTCTTCTCACAAACAAGTAGGTTTCGTGATGGGTTTCGAACTTGATGCAGCGGATTTAACGTACACGGTTTTGAATGATCAGATTCAGTTTTCATTGTCGACGACAAATATTTCAGATTAAAATTCATGATCAAAGTGTTAAAGATGCTTATCAAATAAGTCGATACTATAAATCATAGAAAGAAACGAAACTAATAAAATATTAAAATAAAGGTTTCAAATAGCCGAACGACTGTTATAGCGGTTGTTATTTCGCGGTAGCGCCGCCGTCCGAAATTGATATTGTCCGAATTAACGGTGTGAACGCAGAATCACACTAATAGCGGCTGATAGCTGTCGCAACTTAACCTGTAACGGCCGATCGCGACGATAACAACCATTTATTCATGTTATTTTCCGTTACACCAAATTAGTCGAACACAACAAAAAAGAGGTTATTCGAAACATAAACCGAAAAAAGAAAGATAGGAGAATTCACCTTCATCGCTGGTAGCCGAAAAGCTTGAGAGTCACCGAAATCCAAATTACCGAAAGATAATTTCTTAGATCTAAGACTTGTTGTTTGGTTCTAGGAAAAAAGGAGCTTTAGATTTGAATTTGAGGGAATGAGATAAGTCTTCTGAGACTCTTTGACCATCCCCAGCCACAGTAGTCGACCGTCGTCGGTGTCCATGACTAATAAAGTACACCAATAGACTACACGGCCGAAGGGGTACTTTTAGAGCATGTGGATTTTAAAGAAATGAATTGTGGGTTTCAAAATCCATCGTTTGAATTATAAACAATCATATGTGCAACCCTATTTTTATAGATAAAGTTTCATAAATTCGGTGCATGAATAAATCGCTCGATGAGATCTTTTCTATTTGTAAATTGTCCTTTTAGTCATCAAATGAAAATTTCATCTTTTTTATGTGTAAAATAAAAGATCCAAATAAGAGGTAAAAAAATCATCAAAACAACTATAATTATTATATTTTAAAATAAGTTGTACGAAATTTAAAAAAAAAATTACGAAAACGATAGCCGCAGTGATCACGATGATATTCGTTATGTTTATAACTGCGATAAACGCCATGTGATCGAAAATACGACCGTAAACGTTATTTAAATCCCTGACTGAAATATGTATTTATTTTAAATCCGTCGCCGGAGAAAGAGAAAAAGAAACAGGACTGGAGGAGCTACGGTGGGCTAAATTACAGTGAAATCTGACGGCGGCAAAGAGGGCAAGAGTAGCTGTTGGCATTCAAGAGCCAATCGGTTATACAATCATGGTGATAAACATGGCCGCACGAAAGTCGCCTGGAAGCACTTGAGCCATCGGACGGCCATAAATTCTCCATGCAAATCGAGCAGTTTCCGGTTGCGTAATCGACCGTCGGCATGTCGGAAACCAATCGGATGGCCGTACGAGCCGTGGCTTCGGGATTCTGCGGCATCATCATGGCGGCGTCGAGGTCGAAACATCGTCGATCGAGAGGAACCAAAACAGTTTCATTGCCGGAGACGACGAAGTGGCACTTGGTTGAGCCGGCCGCCATTAGAAAAATAATAAAGGGAGTTTTTCTCTTTGGTGTTGTTTTCGTAGAGGCAGATAAGTTCAAAGCATTTTGTGCAGTTATATTTATAAAGGTGGTGGTGGGGGGATGGCGGCTGCAAGGGGAAATGATTATCGACTTAGGGGTGTTTATTTTTGTAGAGGTTAAAGGTCTGCAATCTGCGAACCATATCTACAGGCATCTGCAGCAGAAGAGGTGAACCAAAAATCTGCAGTCTACAAGAAGAAGACTGTTTGTTTTTTAACGTCTGCACACTACTAAAATGAACTGAAATATAAATAAACTGATTTTTTAAACTTAAAAGAGTTTTGCAATACTGATATTTAAATAATTTTATTTTACAATACTGAAATTTAAATAATTCATACAACTACAATAATAAATTATTTAAAATAAATCAATCTATATTTTAAAATAAATCAATCCATACTAATAAATTATTTAAAATAAATCAATTCATACAACTACAATAATAAATCAATCCATATTTTAAAATAAATCAATCGATACTAATAAATTATTTAAAATAAATCAATCCATACAACTACAATAATAAATCAATCCATATTTTAAAATAAATCAATCCATACAAATAAATTATTTAAAATAAATCAATCTATACTAATAAATTATTTAAAATAAATCAATTCATATTTTAAAATAAATCAATCAATACTAATAAATTATTTAAAATAAATCAATCCATATTTTAAAATAAATCAATTCATACAAATAAATTATTTAAAATAAATTAATCCATACAACTACAATAATAAATCAATCCATATTTTAAAATAAATCAATCGATACTAATAAATTATTTAAAATAAATCAATCAATACAACTACAATAATAAATCAATCCATATTTTAAAATAAATCAATCAATACAAATAAATTATTTAAAATAAATCAATCCATAAAACTACAATAATAAATCAATCCATATTTTCAAATAAATCAATCCATACAAATAAATTATTTAAAATAAATCAATCTATATTTTAAAATAAATCAATTCATACTAATAAATTATTTAAAATAAATCAATCCATATTTTAAAATAAATCAATCGATACTAATAAATTATTTAAAATAAATCAATCCATATTTTAAAATAAATCAATCCATACTAATAAATTATTTAAAATAAATTATTTTAAAATAAATCAATCTATATTTTATAATAATTTATTTTAAAATAAATTATTTTATAATAAATTATTTTAAAATAAATTATTTTATAATAAATTATTTTAAAATAAATTATTTTATAATAAATTATTTTAAAATAAATTATTTTAAAATAAATAGCCTTATTAAATTATTTAAAATTATTTTAATAAATAATTATATTTTATAATTGTTCTTGAAGAGGTTTGAAGACCTTTGAAGACATAAAACCAAGTCTGCACCAAGAAGAGCTCGCGTATACGTTTGAAGAGCTTCTGTCTTCTAAAAAAACAAACAGTCTGCGAAACCTAATGTCTGCATGTGGTCTGCGCAACGCAGATATAAGTGGTTTGAAGAGCTTGCACAGTGAAAACAAACACCACCTTAATATATGTATAAAAAAATGTTACCATTTTTATTATTCTTTAAATAATAAAATCTATAAAAAAATATCAGAAACATTATTATTTCTATTGATTTTATTATTATTTGGCGTTTTATTAACAAAATCCGTAAAACGCTATCGATTTTATTATTTTTTTTACAGGTTTTGTTATTATTGGGTATTTTACTAAAAATATTAAAAAACATTGATGTTTTAAGTAGAAATAATAATGTTTTAGGTAATTTTTACCGGTTTTGTTATTATTGATTTTGTTATTTAAATAATAACAAAACCAATAACGTTTTTTTTTAATTGTATATTAAGAATATCGTACTGTAGAACTTCCCGCAAGCAAGTTTGACAATCGAAAATGTATATTTCTAAGAGTAAAATACACTATAAGTCCCTAAACTACCACCAAATAATTATTTTTATTCACTTGACTTTTAAAAATTGTAATTAAATTTTATTGAATTGTTATAAAATTATAATTAAAGTCGTCAAATCTTATTATTATAATTAAGGATGATCATGAATTGAGATGATTTTTGGCTCACTCGGATCTGACCTCAAAATTAAATTCTTTCATTGAAAAATTTATACTTGTACCCAATCTGGCATGACCTATATATATAATTATTTTTATTAGATAAAATAAAATAGAAAGAGAATTAGAATTAGAATTAGAATCCCTAAATATATAAAAGATAATTATAATGTTTTGTTATGTCATTTTTCACCCTAAATTCGACCTAATCCAATTGGAACTCAAATTATCAAAAAAAAACCAACCCGACTAAGTCAAATCGAGTAGGATCAGAACCCGTCGAATTTGATTGAAATGATCATCCCTAATTATAACATCACAGTGATCATTTTGTAATACTTAAATGAAATTAATGACATTTCATAATTTTTAAAAGTTCAATGACTAAATGATCATTTGATCATAGTTAAATACCTTTGATAAACTTTACCCATTTTCAATCATATCTTGTTTTGTTTAAATTTTTAGGCATTATGTGTGTTGGAATGTTTGATTGTATATTTAAATTTAGGGTAAAGTATACATATAATTTCTCGACTATAGGGTTAAGTTCTTTAATTATTAAAAGTTATAGAATGATCTTTTGATTATAGAGTGTTGTTTTGTTGAGTCATTCGACTATTAAAAGTTACAAAATAGTCACTCGACTATTCATTATGTTCCAAACTCATCCTTTTTCATTAAGAAATTGATGATATTATGAACTGAACGTTAACTTGCTGATTGTGATATGATAAAATTTGATCCTAGAATCTCAAAAGCCTATCATATTCCAGTCATCACGTTAATGTCCAGTTCAGACAACCGCCAATTTTTTAATGGAAAATGACGAGTTTGGAACATAATGAATAGTAGGGTGACCATTTTGTAACTTTTAATCGTTGAGGGTCTTAATAAAATAGTACCCTATAGTGGGGAGACAATTGTGTACTTTACCCTTAAATTTATTTTTGATTAAACTTCAAAAAAAAAATATTCATTAAAATAATAATAAATATATATTCAGATTAACTAGATGAGAAGGTGCGCGCCTTGCTATTCTTCATGCCGCGGGGTCGGTGAGCAATGCATGGAGTCTCAATATCATCCATCCATGCAGCTTAGCTATACTGGTGATGCATTAACATTAATTAAACGAATCCTTTAATGTTTAACTCATGATAATTCAGTTTGATGAATACATTAATAATTAAAGAAAGCATTTTAAACCATCTTTTGTAGACAATGAGAATCACTTGGATACAAAGAGCGCACTAAGGTTTCCTACCAGAAGTAGCAGCTTTTGTAGGAGTGATGGCCTTCCTTATCTTGAAAATATTCCAAGCAGCACTTGCACAATGCCCTGCACTTGCTAGCTCATCTTCAGTAGCCTCCCCCGCCCTTTCGCCGAACCTATAGGTCGAGTCGAGTCGGGTCAATCCTAAAGCAACACAAAATCTCTAGTGCATGTAGCCTCTTGGGGTCGCATATATAACATTACCTATCAGTCGTCATTCTGGTTGCTGCAGAAGATGTTGCAGAAAAAGCTTGCTTCTCAGCTGCTTCAATAACCTTGTCTACCAAACACAGAATTTGTATTATGACAAAGTTTTAGAGAAACTCACATGACACTGAAATATATATGGATTAGGATCTACTTACACATATTGTTAGATCGTTGGATTGACTAAAGGAGCCATCACTGTTCCACTAGCCCCACTAACCATTGCTTTGCTCATTTTTTCAGTCATTTTGGACAGCTTTCTCACACTACACACACAACATGTGCCTCGCAGTGAATAACTTTTGACTTGGATGAACAACTTTACTGGAGTTCACATGATCAACTTGGAAAATATGGACTCAAAATCTTGTTTTTTGCATACCGTTTGAGGCTTTTGCTGGCTCCACTAGTCTTCCCTTTGCAGCCATTGTTGCTTGCCGCTGGAGCTTGCATTAATATGGTTTCTCCTCCTCTCTTAACCTGCTTTTAAGATACCTTGAAGCCATATCCTCGTATCTAAGTAGGAAACACTGGCATTTCATTAGAATAAAGAGTATTTTTTTAAATTTGGGTTTAAATCATGTCGAATCCGATTTTGTGGAGAATAAGATCAGGTTAGGTTAACTTTGAATTTATGGTGAAAAATATCTTATTTAAAAGTAATAGTAATATAACCTTTATTAGAGGTGTTCAAAAAAATATGAAACTGTTAACTGTAATCGTTAACCTATATAACCGTTACATTTAATATGTTAATTAACCGAACCGTTAATATTAAACGGTTTCAGTTAACCGAAACGCTAAAAATGATGGTTAACAGTTAAGATTAAGGTTATGGTTATGGTTATAAATTTTGATAAATGGTTAACCTAATAAATTATATTTATAATTATATTTCTAATTTATTATTTTTTATAAAGATAACTTAATATAATTTTCTATTATTTATAATCAATATATTTTTAATAAAATTTATATATAAATAACTTAATATATTTTTTTTAATTTTTTTACTTTTTAATTTCTTTGAAAATATAGAAACATACTTACACCAATATAATTAGGAGTTCATTGTTAGGCTAAGATATTGGGAGATATATATACTTACATCGGTATAAGTATGTGTTAAGTGTTACACTTTTTTATTTCATTCGCTTACATCGGTGTAAGTATGTGTTAAATGTTACACATTTTTATTTCATTCACTTACATCGGTGTAAATATGTGTTAAGTGCTAATTTTTATTATAAATTATAAAAAAATTAAAAAATAATTGAAATAGTTTAAGCTATGGTTAATCTGCTGGATCGTTAATAATGGTTAATCGTTAGCAATTAACCGTTTCTTAACGGTTAGATTATGGTTAGACAAATCTCATAACTGTTATAACGGTTA